AAAAGGATGTTAAAAAAAACTTAAGGGTGGAACACACGAGAGGGTCATTGAGTGCCTACTAACTTTTTCCTTTCTTTTCAGTCAATCCCCTGTTTTCAAATGAAATTCCAACATCTGCAGCAGGTGGATTGGGGAACAGGGCCCCTTCCATATCATCCCTTAAATTCAATTTGGGAGTAATATATGACATTATGATGGTGGATTTCTCTTTCTTATTACAACAAATCAGGTAACGCTATTGTGTTTGACAATTTGACATTAAGAAATGCTGCTTTGGACTCGCATAATTGCACGGCACACAAAATAAATTAATAAAATGGGATTTTTCCTCTAAACAGTTAACAAAAAAATTATTTTAACAATTTTACTAATTTTATACTGGTATGCTAGCCTCATCATACAGTCAATGATGTAGGCTAGGAAAAAGGATTTTTTACTGGCACTGCAGTGTCCAAAAGAAGGATTTTCTTCCTCAAAACAGTTAATAAAGAAAAAAAACTTTTAACCCCTTAAGGACACATGACGGAAATATTCCATCATGATTCCCTTTTATTTCTGAAGTTGTATCCTTAAGGGGTTAACAGCTTCATATTGGTAAAATAGTCTCACACTAGGATAAAGGACAAAATGCCTGCCAACCTAAGTGACAATCGCCTTTTTCCCACTCTAAGTTCGCTCTAGTGCTCCTGGCAGTGCTATCTGCTACATACAACATAAAGCTAAAGCTAGTCTTACGCTAGAATCAACGACCCAGGAATCCATGACCATATTTATAACTCCAACACTGGCACAGCAAGGGTAAACCCACTGTCTCCCTCAGTAGCAGGATTCAAAGTGTCTAGAAGAATCCTGCTTGGAAGTACAGTTGTTTTATTGCTCCTTCTTTTTTTCCCTCTACGGTTTACTTCACTTGGTTTGTAAGTGAAATCAGCATTTAGTGGCTGACCCCTAACTAGGGCCATATTAATAAGAGCCCAGTGGGCCTGGTGCTGACAATTATGAGGGGCCTAAGTACAGAATCTAATCGACCAAAAACACTAAAGCAGTCATACCTCTCAAGTGTTATGTATCTGGTGGAGGTGTTGCTGGAGGGAAACTCAAATGATGCAGCTATAAGAAAACTCAGATGCTCTTAAAATATGCTAATCTCTCTCTAATTCATGCTCTCATATTTCAAGTAAATTCATTGCCCCTAACAGCAGTGTCCAGTGAAGCAGGAAGTCAATGGGCGGTGTAAAAGGGTGGGCCACTGACGCGGATCATGTAACCAGAAGTGCCGAAAGGGAAGAACATACCCAAAAAGGAGGCGTGTTTACCCAAAGAATTGGAAGGCTAGCCTGGCATGAATGCATGTCAGGTTGCCTGACAATCATGCATGCTGACCAACAGCATCATGAGCTTGGCATAAATGCGTCTAATGATGCGCTCGCTCCATGCTTTCTAAGGACAGTCCCCTAGCACTCACATGTCCACTTGTCTCCTTACCTTCTAGGCAGAAGCTCCTGGTATACAGTCTGAGACAGAGAAAAGGTGGATGTAGTGAATGTAGACGAAAGGGAACATACCACAGTGTTAGAGAGACCAAAGTCAGCATGACCTTAACTAATTTCATTTCAGCCAGTCCACTCAAGTTTTGTTTCCATATATACCTCTTAAGTTTCCATACTTAACTAAGAGTATGTGAAGAGTAGTTAGGATTGCCACCTTTCTTGGGGAAAAAATACAGGCCTTACTAATTTGCATAACTAATTATGTATGTGTGACATTATATTATGTAAATCACAGGGAGTGACATCAGAGAAAATTCAGTAAAATCACCAGAAAACTACTTACAGTTTAATTCTGCTGTATAGATGGATTGCTCCCAGTGTCTTAATGTTGCCCAGTGTCCCCTAGTGTCTGTGTCCCCATGTCTCCCAGTGTCTCCATGTCACTAAGAGACACTGTAAGACATGGGGACACTAAGACACTTGGGGACACTGAGACTATGTATCACAGTGTCTCAGTGCCCTATGTCTCCCAGTGTCCTCATGTCTCTGTGTCCCCATGTTGTCCAGTGTCCCCTAGTGTATGTGTCCCCATGTCACTAGGGGACACTGAGAGACATGGGGACACTGAGACACTTGGGGACACTTAGAGACATGGGACACAGACACTGGGAGACATCAGACACTGAGAAACTAAGAACACTGGGAGACATGGGGACACTGAGACACTAGGGACACTGGGAGACATGGGCACATAGACACAAGTGACACTGAGAGACATGAGGACACTGAGACACTGGCTGGGAGACATGGGGACACTGAGACACTTGGGGACAAGTGTCTCAGTGTCCCCATGTGTGTCTGTGTCCCCATGTCTCCCAGCGTCCCCTAGTGTCTCAGTGTTCCCAAGTCTCAGTGTCCCCTAATGTCTGTGTCCCCATGTCTCATTTCCTCATGTGTGTCTGTGTCCTCGTATCTCCAAGTGTCTCAGCGTCCCCAGAGATCTCCCTATGTCCCCCATGTCTCATAGTGTCCCCATGTCTCCCTGCAGCCTTTACCCCATCTCTCACTTCCCTGAGCTGTAGACTGTCTCTGCAGGCTGGTCGCTGCTGTCTGGACTCTCTCTGCTGAGTAGAGAGATGCAGATATATGCTGTAACTTCCTGTCCCTGCCTCTCTCCACACACACAGCAACCCCTACTGACCGGTGCTGGTATTGCAGAGTAATCTCTGTTTATACTGAGAAAAATACCGGCATTTGTATTGCCGGTATTACTGCAATATCGGCAAAGGCCAGGCAGCCTCAAATAAATACCGGCCATGTGGCGACCCTAAGAGTAGTGTGTAAATGTTTTTTTTAAATCAATGGGCCTATTTCATGGGTCTGCAGCTCCATCAGCCCCTATGTTAATCCAGCCCTGCCCCTAACCATCAACTAACACATCTTTTTTGCTATATTTTGATTCAACATAAGAGAGCTTCATTTCCATTCCATCCCCTTTTTTTTCTGGTGCCGGGAAAGGCACTCTGAATCAAGAGCTGAACCAATTATTTCCAGGCTCGCACTCAGGATTCTACCATTTGATTGTTCTCTTAAGATTCTACCATGTAACAACTCAATAATTGTAAATTCTTCCATTCACCCAAACTTGGACAAATTCCAGTTCTGCCTTAATCAAATCTCAAAGTCTAGGTAATAATCAATAATAGTTTTCACCAGGATATCTAGTAGAGAATCTAGTCAGTGACTGCTCATTGCCATGGGTGGCATGGTTTAGATTAGCCTAGGTCATCAGAATCACTATTAACTGGTGTACCCGAGCTATGGAACCCTATTCCCATAACCCAATGAAACATGGTATGAGTAATGAGTGCAGCATTTCTGTTCATTTTCCCATGTCTTGGGGAGTTCAATAGAAGCCTAGTCCTAACCCTAGCAGTAACATGAACTCTAAAACAATCTTTAATACGCAATCATAACACACTAATCCTAGATTAAGTACATCATGTTTTTTGTAGCTTGGAGGAAAGACGAGATGGGGGGCGGGGAGTTATGATAGAAACAGTTAAATATATAAAGGGAATCAACACAGAAAAGGAGTATATTTAAAAAAAGAAAAACAACCACAACAAAAGGACACAGTCTTAAATTAGAGGGGCAAACCTTTTTTTTAACCCCTTAAGGACACATGATGGAAATATTCCATCATGATTCCCTTTTATTCCAGAAGTTGTGTCCTTAAGGGGTTAAAATATCAGGAAGTATCACTTTACTGAGAGGGTATTAGATGCATGGAATAGCCTTCCAGCTGAAGTGGTAGAGGTTAACACAGTAAAGGAGTTTAAGCATGCGTGGGATAGGCATAAGGCTATCCTAGCTATAAGATAAGGACTAATGAAAGTATTTAGAAAATTGGGCAGACTAGATAGGTCAAATGGTTCTTATTTGCTGTCACATTATATGTTTCTATGTATTATAAAAGTCACAATGTAGCATGTATTAGGGGAAAAACATGCTATCTTAGGGTTCTAGAGACATTTATAAACCACTCACATTTCAATCTTATTGTTTATTATGATGTCTGCAGAACCCCAAGATGAAATTATGCTCCCATAGCACATTATGAATTCTGTGTGTGTCTTTGCGTCAGTTTGCACACATACATATTCCCCCAGTCATCCAGCGTATGCACGTGCTTCAGAAAATTTAACAGAACTGAAAACCCCCAAATGTTGTATTTTTTTAATTGTGGGCTCTTTTCTTCCACTTCATTTACATAACAGAAACACCTGGAGTTACTGTGCTTATCAGCTGCAGGACAGCCAAGAGCACAGTTAAGCATGGTATGAGAATCTCAGATATACCTTTAACTCAGACAAAATCAATGAAACACAGCAAGGCAGTGAAGTTGGTAAAAAAAAAAAAAAAAAAAATACAAAAAAAACCTATGAATGCAGCACTAGTTTCTGCTGTTTAAAGATAAGGTATACCTATGTTGTGAAGAAATCAAAGGCTTTAAATTGATTAGTTCTCTATTCTACATTTTCTGCAAACTTTTGAATGGTTACCATGTGTTAATAATATGGAATGATGTGGCATTTAGAAATATAGAACTTTGTATCAGAGATGGTGAAAATACGAATTCGTAACCAAATAAGTTATGATTCAAAATAGATCTACAAAGGTTTGAGGATTTTTTCCCATCTTTAATCTCGTTCTTTAAAGTATAAATAAAAAGATTACAATCATCATTGCTTCTTCCAACTTGACTGTTTTGGTGCAAATTGCGCAATTCAGTTATCATTCACCAGTATTATATAGTTAATAAACCCTCATTTTTAACGAGTTCATTCTATAAAAGAGTACAAAATTGCAACATATCTTCTAACTAGCTGTTTATTAAAGGACCACTATAGTGCCAGGAAAACAAACTAGTTTTCCTGGCACTATAGTGTTAATAGGTCCCCCCCCCCACCCTCATGGCCCCCTCCCACTGGGCTCAAAAGGGGTTAAGGGGATAAACACTTACCTTTCCCCAGCGCCAGGCTCCCTCGACGCTGGGGACTCTCCTCCCTCTTCCGATGTCATCCGTCAAATGCGCATGCGCGGCAAGAGCCGCGCGCGTATTCAATCCGTCCATAGTCTCAATGCTTTACTATGGACGGCAGCGTCTTCTCTCTGTGAAAAAGCACGGATGCGCCTATAGCGGCTGTCAATGAGACAGCCACTAGAGGCTGGATTAACCCTAATGTAAACATAGCAGTTTCTTTGAAACTGCTATGTTTACAGCTGCAGGGTTAACCATAGATGGACCTGGCACCCAGACCACTTCATTGAGCGGAAGTGGTCTGGGTGCCTATAGTGGTCCTTTAATGCTCTCAACCTCTTTTGTAAACTATATGGCAATGTGTTGAAGAATTTTGTGAATTCAGAAGCACAGCTGTGTCCAAGGGCTTTAGTCTTTTCTCATGAAAGAACATTTTATTTTTTTGATATGAGAATCTTTCACACTAGGGTTTTGATTTAATTTGAATCAGCATGATCACTATTCTATTAGAAAAAAACCTTTTTCAAATGATTTATCTATAGAAGTCACCACTAAATTCTTGGAGTATTTCTGTAGATAAATCGTTTGAAAAGTGTTTTTTTTTACAGAATGGAATAATTTCTGATTCTGATTCAAATGAATTAAATTGAGGCCACAGTGAATTACTTTGCAGTTATATAGCTAGGAGAATACACAAATGCAAATACCTATTTTGTGAAAATTGGCTCTTGTAGCATGCGATCAATAGCAAGCGATTTAAATACAAAAGCTCCTAGGCCTTGCATTCTATCTAAAATACAGGCACTAGGAAATAGTAGAGTTGAGCGGACACCTGGATGTTCGGGTTCGCCAAGTTCGGCCGAACTTCATTCGGGCTCGAACTTGACCCCGAACCCGAACACGAAGACGAACCCCATTGAAGTCAATGGGACCTGAACTTTTGGGCACTAAAACGCCTCTAAAAAGTCCTGGAAAGGGCTAGAGGGCTGCAAAAGGAAGTAAAATGGGGGTAAGAGTAGGACAAGTGCCCTGCAAACAAATGTGGATAGGGAAATAACTTAAAATAACATAAAATAAGCAGCCACTTAGTAGATAACTCCCTAATTCCCACGGTATTAGGGAGCTATCTACCAAAAGGCTGAAAGGCCTAAATTGGTCTTTCAGCCACATTTACTAATACTAAGTAAAAATTACTTAGTATTAGTAAATTCAGCCCCTACTCGCAATACCCCGAGTAGGGGCATGTCTAGTAAACAGTGAGCAGCCAGTGACTGCTCGCTGTAAAAAAAAAAAAATAGATAAAACGTATTGGCCCCCACCCCTGAACAGTGGGTGGGGGCCCTAAGTTAGAATATTGTCCTCCCCCCGGCCCCCTTCCCTGGGTGGTGGGTGGGGGCCCTAAATAAAAATTTAACACCCCCCCCGTAACCCCACTCCCCCCACAAAATAACCCCTACCTGCCCCCCTCATCCTACAAATAATGAGGGGAGACCATAAGCCAGATACCTGTAAAAAAATTTAAAAATAAACTTACCATTTCATGTCTTCTTTCTCCTAAAATGTTATTTTTTCAGCCCCAAAAAAGGCCAAATAAAAATCCATAATAACCGACACACTTTAAAAAAAATAAAAAATCCATGTTCACCTGGAGGGCTCCGTGAAGACTGAGCTCTGCAGGGCGGCGGAAGGCTTATAAAGCCTTGCCCTGCCCTGCAGTTAGGCTTAGAGTACTTTGATTGGTGGGTTTAAGCCATCCAAAGAACTTTCCCACACTGTGCAAAATGACTCATAACACTCTGATTGGATGGCTTGAAATCCATCCAATCAGAGTGCTCTGTGTCATTTTACACAGAGTGGGAAAGTTCTTTGGAATTTTTCCACGCTGTGTAAAATGACACAGGGCACTCTGATTGGTTACTTTAAGTCCACCAATCAGAGTGTTATGAGTCAAATTACACAGCGTGGGAAAATTCCAAAGAACTTTCCCACGCTGTGTAAAATGACACAGAGCACTCTGATTGGTGGATTTCAAGCTAACCAATCAGAGTGCTGTGACAGGTAAATGTAGAGACTTACCTGTCAGTCTCTTCATTTACCTGTCAGAGCACATTGATTAGATGGCTTAAACCCACCAATCAGAGTGCTCTGAGCCTAATTGCAGGGCGGGGCAAGGCTTTTTTAAGCCTTCCCCCGCCCTGCACAGCTCAATCTGCATGGAGCCTACCAGGTGAACATGGACTTTTGTTTTTCCGCTCGTTTCTTTTTTGTTTGTTTGTTTTAAAGTGCGTTGGTTATTATGGATTTTTATTTGGCCTTTTTTTGGGGCTGAAAAAGGCAGATTTTAGAAGAAAGAAGACATCAAATGGTAAGTTTATTATTTTTTTACAGGTATCTAGCTTATGGTCTCCCCTCATTATTTGTAGGATGAGGGGGGTAGGTAGGGGTTATTCTTTTGGGGGAAAGAAGTGACAGGGGGGGCTAAATTATTTAGGGCCCCCACCCACTGCTCAGGCGTGGGGGCCAGGGGGGAGGACAATAGGTCCCCGGTATAGCGAGTAGGGGCTGAATTTACTAATACTAAGTAATCTTTACTATACTAGTATTAGTAAATATGGCTGAAAGACCAATTTAGGTCTTTCAGCCTTTTGTTAGATAGCTCACATGCTGCACTGGCCAATCACAGCCATGCCATTAGTAGGCATGGCTGTGATGGCTTCTAAGGGCACACGAGTCAAAGGCTTGTTGATTGGTTGCCCTGCAGCCTTTTAAAATGCGCCATTAAATCGCCAAACACCGAACTC